TAATAATAATAATAATAAAATAATACTAATAAGGATAATAATAATAATGATAATAATACATACATACATACCAGTTATATAAGGAATATTTGTCAGAATCTTTTCGCCGCAATCCTTTTTTTCATCAGTTGGATATATAGTGTGTGTGGTTGGCGGGTGCTCTGGTGCTGTTTGCCTCTTCTTTCCTACCAAACATCTATCGTCTTTATCTCCCCTCCCTCCTTCTTTTTTGCGTTTGTTACTCTCTTGTAACACCTCTAATCTTCGGCACTTATATGACCTTATTTTGTTGCAAGTGCCGTAAAACTTTTACCAAAAAACCCCCAAAAGGATATATAGTGTGTAAGTCTTGGCTGACGTTTATAAAAATAATAATGCTAATAATAGCAACAATGGTGTGTTTTTCCAGGCTCCTCATGCATCTAGTTCCCACATACAAGACAGAAGATACGGTGTTGGTGAGTGTGTCCTCGTGTGTCTTGTCTGCTGTCAGGGGTTTTGGAACGAGTGATGACTGTTTGTGACACTATTGTGAAAAAGTCTGTAACTTTTCACATTTTTTTCTTTCCTGAAGCAACGGTTGCTTAAAAAATATTTCCTCATCTTTGTAATGTTTCAAAACTCGTTTGTTTATGGTATGGGAAAGTGGTTGAAAAAAAGATGTAGTGGCTTAGAACCTCAGAACCTTGTAGCATTTTGCATTTTATCTCATCTCATCTCACGTCATCTCCTCCTATCTGATCCCATCTCATCTCATCTCATCTCATCTCAGAGATGCTACAGAGCTCTCACCCTTGCCTTACCTTACCGTACCTAACCTTACCTTACCTTACCTTAACTTTATCTCATCTCATCTCATCACATCATCTCGTCTCATCTGATCTTATCTTACATCTCATCAACTCATCTCATCCCATCCCATCTCATCTGATCTTATCTCATCTCACATCTCATCTGGTCTTATCTCACGTTCTCATCGTCTCATCTCATCTCATCTTATCTCACATCTCATCATCTCATCTCCATCTTATCTCACATCTCATCATCTCATCTCATCTCATCTCAGAGGTTCTGCAGAGCTCACAGCAGAGTCTCGAGTCCTCGACAGAATCTCAGCAACTGCAACAGTACCCGCTACATCATCACCACACACAGCAGCAGCAGCAGCAGCAGCAACAGCAGCAGCACCAGACTGCTGGGCTGGAGGCTGACGCTGGCAACTCGGTCTATCAGCAGCAGATGATGGTCAGTGGCCGGAGATTTCTCCACTCATTTTGTTTTGTTTTGTTTGCACGATCCAGCCAGAGGAAGAATACTGCTTGTTTCAGTTGTTTTTAAAAAAACAGTTTTTCATAACGACCGAAAATGTCCGATTGTTATAACTGTTCTAACACATTTAACATGATTTACGGGTTCATAAGATAGGAAAGAAAAGTTTTGAATTTCCTCTTGAAAACCTATTGTTTCCTATTCTAGAAATGTTTGGTTATTATTAATAGACTAAGAGATCTTTCTAACACACGTTCATGTCGTGTTGATACTGGGGGGGGGGGGGGGGGTAAAATTGCAGGCCTCCTTATTGTGGAAATACCAATAACTCTGGCGTTTTTAGAATGTGCGATTGCTGCGAATTATTTTTGACTGCAGATCATTAAATGTGGAAGTTAAGACCCTCTTGGGTGAGAATATTGAAGTGTTGCAAATTTTTAATAATTGAAAATAACTTGATTCTTTGTTTCAACTATTTCACATATACTCAGCAAATTCAATAGTTGATGTCAAACATATTTTGCTAAGAAAAGGACATTTCTGATGGCTGCCTTCACTTTTGATTTTTACATATTTTTTCACTTTTGTAAATGTAACTGCAATTTTCTCCTTTTATAAAGCACGTACACATTATTTCTTGGTCAGCTTTGATCCTATTTTAGCTTCAAATAATGCACAAGTTTTATCTAAGCGTTTATCTAAAATGTTACAGAGTCATTTTTTTTATTGATCTTATTCTTGTATTATTTTTTGTTGCTTAATTAGGAATTAAATTTTATTTTTTTTCTCTATGTATTCCACATACATTTTTAAAGCACATAAGCACATCTTTTTTTGGTCAAAACGTTTATGAAAAACGGGACTTTATATAACTTTCTTGTTTGCCAATACCAGTAGGAACATGCAGCGTAAGAACGACTCATATATACATCGCAGAAACTGTCTCAGAAATACATTCCTCGAGTCATGCTGAGAACTCAGGGTGGTGTCAGGTTTTCTTTGTTTGTGTGACACTGCGGCGCCTCAAAACTATTTTGTCCAAGGAAGTGGCTAGCCGTACTTAGATCTAGGTTTGGCCCTATCGACTCGAACCTGTTGAGTACACAGGTCTCATTAGATCTAGGTCTAGTAATTATTCAGGTTTCAATAATGCCAGTCAGTAAGGCACCTTTTGGTTTTGTCTGAAATACAATTACTTTAGGTTTTGCGAACTAAAAATTTCATTTACTATTCAGCCGATAGGTCTGAGGCAACGACTGGGCTACACAAATAGGGAAAGAAACATCCTGACTTTGATCTTCCCCTTCAAGCCCATGGGAAAAGTCCAAATTCCTTTTTATCTACAATGACAAGGAACGGGTGGAGATAATAATGGTCTCACCTAAGACGGCCTTAAACATTTCTACTGAGTTTTTTTGCTTCAGCCTTTTATCTGCAGTTTTAGTTAAGGCTCTTTCTCAAGGAAAGGACAAAAGTCGGTAAGAATTCTCATGAGGGCCTTTTTTCTCTTCATCATTTTCTCAGATAGAATTTAGTATTTCATCGGTCTAACAAGATCCAACTCAATGGCTGGATGCTAGAGTCCAATAAACGCCGTTGTGTAACAGTATGGGCACTTGTTGGAATTTTCCACCCTGGCGTTGGACAGGGTTTGTAAAATCTCAAACTGATGAGAATTGTTCAGTTTTCTGTTCACGTAACTCTTTTGTTTTGTTTGTAACACTTACCGTAACCTTCCGCAGAGGCACGAATCTCTCACGCCGACCCCCGACGGGGAGCCCCTCTATGTAAACCGCTCGGCTCTTCTGCCGGCGTACAGGCCAAGTCCAGACTACGACATGGTCATGCAGCAGCGAATTATTCATCACCACCACCATCAGCAGCAGCAGCAGCAGGGGCAGGGGCAGACCCACTTTGAGGAGCTGACACCCCCGCATCTCGGGGCGTCCCAAGTTTATGTCCACCCTGACGGAATGGCTTACAGCCAGCCGGAGATAAGTCAGATGACCGCAGCATACCGCGACGAGCATGGGAACTATGCCAACATGGAGGCCCTCCGCAGCTACGGTCACTACGCCAACATCTTCCAGGACGACCATAACTTCTACCAAGGTCGTGGTGCAGACAGGGGAAACAATCTGGCGGTTCACCCGACCTACAGCTCCCCGGAGCTCAACACAGAACTCCACCACCAGCCTGAGGCGTTTGCCGCCAGCGAGTTCTCCGCCCAGGAAGCTCTGGCCTACCACTTCCGGCCGCCCCCGCCCTACCCCCGCACCAGCAGTAGCACCCCGGACCTGGCCGGGCAAGCCAGCGCGATACACGAGCTCCCAGAACCCCACCTGGTGGAGACGGCCGGGCCCCACGACTTTGTCACGCAGTCACGCCTGGACCGAAGCGTGGATGACTTGTCCGTGTTTCAGAACTTCCAGCAGACAGCTGCTGTTGGCTATCCCCCCTCAGCGGCTGGGGTTCAAATCTCCACGCAGCAGCAGCAGCACGCGACTGGCTCTGACACGAGTAACGGCGGCCACGTGGCTGTGCTGAACCGGCCGGTAGAGTCTGTGGGCGAGACTCCCTTAGGGGTGGGCGTGGCAGAAACGTTACACGTCACGGACTCTGGTCCCGGTGGGGCCGACGCTGGGCCGGACGCTAGCGCCAACCAGGACAAAGGTGCTCCGGATCCCTCGTCTGCTCCGTCTAGTCTTACCGCGGGTGACCTCCCCTCGGCGCCCCTCACCGCCGCCCGGCTCCTAAGCGACGACCAAGAGGACACGTCCAGCGAACACTCGTACTCCACGTTCCACGCCAAAGACTCGGACGACAGCTCGGAAGACGACACCCTGCGCGTCAAACCAATTCAGCAGGAGGAGTCGAAGATTCAGATCCGGATGTTCAAACCACAAGAGGCCCCGCCTCCCTCGAAGATCAAGGAGGAAGCCACGCTGAGAGAAAGCTTCCGGCGCTTGAAGATCGCTCGCGCCAGCTCGCTCAACAGAGAGGTGCTGCCTGGTCTGCGGCGGTCGTCGCTGCGGGGCTTGAAGGAAGCGACTGAGACGGACACTCTCACACCGTCGGTTCTGAAGGTGGTCAGCGAACAGACGCAGGAGCTGCCGGGCCAGGCTAGTCTCGCACTGGCCAGTTCCTCGTCCTCCACAGGACAGGCGGCTAGCGTGGACACTCATCAACTGAAGGATATTGCCACCGGAACGGTTGAGTCCCACGAAATGAAAGAGATCTTGGAGCGGTTGGGAGCTCCGCCTCCCTACCCCGGTGGTCTGGCCATGCCGGAACCAGGTTCGAACCCTCTCCCCTCCCCTGCCGTGGGTGTTCAAGCCGAGGCTAGCGCGGCGGCTCCCTCTTCTCTGATGAACAATAACAACGTGGACCTAAAAGACCTGGAGAAACTGATCGTGAACAATGTGTCCGGTAAACAACAGCCGTCGTCGTCGTCGGCCACGGTCAAACGATCCAGCTCTATGGGAACCGCGCCGGTGGCCAGAGACACTCCGTTGCTACCTCCGCGGAGAGAAGAGCTGGTGAAGCCCAGATCTGCCACGTACAGCCTCGACACCAAAGTGCCAATCTCCAAGCCGGGCATGGTGCTGTTTCACCAGGACTCGGAGTTTGAGACGTCGGTGCTGAAATCGGAGCCCGCCCCAAAAGTGTCGGGGACAGAGAGCGACAGCGAGAGCGTGAAGTGTCTGAGCGAGGCGGGGAGCGAGCGGACGGCGGACAGCGACGAGCGAGATGACCGCAGCGAGCACATGGTCAGTCTGCAGGATTACTCGATGGGCTCCGATAGCGACTCGGACCAGGAGAGGGTATGTGAGCGGAGGGCGTGTCATGTGTCGTGTGTCATGTGGCCGCTGGTTGGTGTCGGCTCTAGTTGTGTCTGGAGGTCTG